CCCCCGGTGCAGTATTGCGCCATATAGTGCTTACCCGCGCCGCTCTGCTTATTTGTACAATAAACTCTCTCGGAAGTAGCCACCCCCGGGAGGTCTCTACTCTCCGTGTTTGGAGACAAAGGCTAGTAAGAGGGAGTTGGGCTTTCCCGACACGGCCTGGCCGGATCCCTCAGGACATTTTAGGTCCCCTTATCTAGCACATGCGCTTGCGATCCCTTTGACTTACTAGGCCGAACCTGTAGTGGGCTAATGAGGTGATTTCCGCTGATAATCTGATGACTTGATGAACTCCAAGTGATCTTGCAGTATGATTTCTGCTCTCCAAAACCTGTCTACACCAATACAAGGCTGGGGTAAAATCGTTACATGGCTGGGCGGATCTTTCAAGTCTCGACTATAAATATTGATAAATTTCTCATGCAAGTACTAGAATATAGTAAGAAATCCATGTATAAAATATTTTCCATAATTGGGAAATCAAGTTCATATCTCTCGGCAGCATGCCAGCGGCACCTGTGTTTATGCTTTGCTACTGTTAGAAACTCCTAGAACCACAAGTTACCGGTACTCAACCTCAGAATACGGTCGAATGCTTTCCCCTTTCTGCACTGTTCTATTTGAGTATAGAAATTTCACCATCTCCTTTATTCCGATGGCCCGGCAGTCATAGCGTAGCAATTAAAACACCCTTTCCCTCTCCCACCAAAAATATACGAGTATCATTCCAACGGATTATACTAAATTTGGTCTATAAAGACCCTTAATTCCTACAGATAACTACATAGATGTCATTGATATTCCCCACATTGTAGTGGATTCCTCAGAGCCATTCATTGGTTTAATGTCAGCGTATGACTGATCCAAAAAAATCAGAGAAAAACCTCGTGCAAGTTCCATCTAGGATAAATAGTACACCATTGGCCGGTGAAGGCTCCTCGAGACCTCGAAAAGGCTGGAAATTGCTCCTTCCGTATCTAGTCTAACACCTTCAGCGGAATGACACCCAGCTCTTGGTGATGGGAGACCTGGAAGGAGGCTCTCTCCTGCACCCTAGACCAAACTAGGGATACCGATGCCCGGCTATTCCGCTTTTGCTCCCATTTCCCTTTCTTTCTTGCTTCTACCCTGTCCAGCTTACTAAGAAGGCCTCATAGTTGCCATACATAGGGACGTCAGGAGGGAGAAAGAGTCAATTACCTTAGATAGGTTATCGGCCGATGGTATCGCGCCTTTTCATAAACTGAACAGTGCATAAAAAGAAACTTATTCTCCCCCGCACCCCAAAAATGCAAGTAGGGTCACCTAACTGGTGATATTATTCGTTCAAAAATTATCAAAGTATTCTATAGTATTTCATAACACGAACCGTACCCAATAGCCATACTGTACAGCGCAGTAAGGGAGAAAGAAGGAAAATAAAAAAGAGAATCCCAACGGAACCGCCGGCTCTAACGCGAAAATTCAGACAAACACTAATCATGCACTGTCGCCCCCATTCTTTTTCCTCTTTCTAGTCTCCAAGCTCGTCTTGACTGGGTTCTCGCTCTCAAAAATCTCGGTGATTTGTTCGAGGGTATGCCCGGCTGTCTCAACGAACCACATCCAAATTACAAAAACTTCGAAACAATTCCATACAATAAACACAATATAGTACCTCCACCCAATAGCTTCCATGGCAACCGGCGCAGCGAAAGTATTCACGCACATAGCAATGTTCACGAACAAAAAGTTGAGCCCAGAACCCTTGGCGCGAGTCCTTGTCTCGAGAACCTCAGTGTTGTAGAGTGTTTGCAAAGGAGTATACGCCCAAGAGAATGCCATACCAAAGATGTAGATGAACGCGATAACAGCGTACGAAGCACCGTTTGAAGTTGACGAGACGGCCGTTCCGGCGGTGATGATGGCGAAGCAGAGCACTGTGAAGGCGGTAGCCACCATAAGCATTGGCCTACGCCCGAGCCTATCAAGAAGCGTTGCACCCCAGACGGCTGCAAACATGCAGAATACCGGGTATATTCCGTTGAGAATAAGACGAGTGTCTGAAGACTGGATACCGGTCTGCTGGAACATTGTTGGCATGTAGTATGATACGACATTGTTTCCGGACCATTGACCAAAGAACGCGATGGCAACTGTGATCCATTAGCGGCTCGGGAAAATTTGGTGTGGGGCGCGGGATGATACTTACTGACGAGGCCAAGTCTATACCTAGCCTTTCGTGTGTTCACGAGATCGCGGTAGTCCCACCAGATCTTGTCGGAGGATGTGGTTCCAATTTGCTCGCTCATCTCCCTGAACTCAGCCTGCACGACTGGGGATTGGCGGTCGCCCTCGCCGTGGTATTTAGCTAGAATCCCGATAGCCTCCTCGTCACGGCCTTGAGCGATTAACCAACGGGGAGATTCCGGGATGAAGAAGACCAGAATGACAACGAGGGCAGGAATGGCTCCCTGAACGATAGTAGGGGTCCTCCATGCCCACGAGTTACCCATGTGGCGATTGCTGCCGACACAGCACCACCCTGCAACTACAACGGGAAACTAGGTTAGTTAGAATCTGCGAATGAGCGCTCATATAAGAGTCCATACTAATAGACCCTAGATACCAGCAGACATTGAAAAGGCCAGCCTGGGTACCACGGTACGCTGGGTGCGACAATTCAACAGCATAGGGAGGTGCAGAACCGCAAGCTATCGCCGCGCCGAATCCAAGGATGAACCTTCCCCCTTGGAATTGTCCTACTAGCTAGGGACTTAGTTGCTTCTCGGTAATGGAAAACATTCCGAAAAAAAAAAGGAATACTCACAGCCATTGGCCGTGGCCTGCACCGCAGTTCCAACAAGGACAATTGCACAACCGACGAACATACCCCACCGCCTACCGTATCCGTCTGCGAGCCACCCAATTGCGGGGAATGCGGCGATTTGTCCCAACTGGCATTGGTTCCGTTAGTTTGATGCTGGGATGGGGGGTGAGGACTGGATATGCAAGATACATACGTTGTAGATCATGAAAACAATACCCGTACTAGAGCCTTTACCGTTCAGGCCAAATGAATTTTGATACTGTTCCATGTCATTGACAGCGCCCCTATACATCAATGAATTAACATAAATCCAGGGTGGTTAAAGGTTAAGCGTAGTGGAGGAAGTTAGGCAGGAAAATCGTCTGCTCACATCAGAGAACCGTCATATCCGTTCATCGTTGAAACCAAGTAACTCACAAGGAGACAGAAGTAGAGCTTCAACGAATTCTTGCTCAATAACGAAGGCTTGTCCTCTCGTATCATGGCGTCAATATTCCGCGTTGTATTCGCATTTTCCCTCGTACCGTTAGAACCCGTCTCAAAATACTCCCCGTTAGAGAAAACTGTCTCTTTGGAGCCCGTTGTGGATGGATGGGGGCCTTTTGAGTTCTGGGCAGTATACTGCATATCTAGTGGTTCGAACTCTGGAGAAGGCTGGGCTTGCCGAATTAACTGAAAATCTGGTGGTGGGATGTTGGCTAAGTTTTATTCCCTCCAAGACAGAGCTCCCCACCTCGGCGAGCGGAGCGCTTAGTAGTTATTTTAACTGTTTTTTCTCTTTTTTTTTTTCCTGGCCTTTCCATAAGACTGGTTTCCTTGTGAGGGGGCCTCAAGGACAGGGCCGGATGGAGAAGGGGTTGATGGTGGTACAATACCACACTAGTACGAGTAGTGTGCTCTGAGCACCTTGTAGTAATATTGTAACGGGTTTCTTTTTTCCCACCGCGTACCGAGGGAAAGTCCCATCATGGGTTGCTCGTGCTTATTATGGATAGCACAAGTCCTTTTCCGCCCAAGGAGCATAGTTTATCTAGAGTGTGCAACAAGTATACGAGTAGGCCGAGGCCTAACTAGCTATCCAGCAAAGCAGGTTGCCACCAATTTGTTAGAACATAGGTTATAGCTTATGGCATGTGCTATTTTCTTCTAAATAGTTAGGACCCTATAAGCTACAGGTTCAAGTACCTGGTACTCATGCTCCGGGATCGAAATCGAACATGTTCTTGGGGCCTTACCGCCAAAAATGGAGCAACCTCGATCCAGCGACTTGTGTACCAGCTGCACACCCTTAGCAAATTACTCGCACCGGTGCTGCAGAAAAGCTCTTCTTCCACCTCTAGGACAAATGGGTCCCAAATCCTAGCGCAGAAACGACAGTACTCGAGTAGCTTAGTTCGGAGCACAATCGCTACCCCACAGTAACTTTTTGTCACTAACCTCATCCATAGTGCGCCGAGCTCCGCTATCCACCCATCCACCCACCTTTCAGGCCAGCCAAGCACCTTACTCGTACTGGTAGAGTTTGTCATCAGACTACGGTGGTCCCCAGCTCTCCAACTCTCCTACGCACGGTCTACGTTACTGTACTTTTTTCTACAACCGTGTCCGCAAAGTCTTCTCGGAGAGAAAGGTAGAGTGGTAAGGTCTTGGCAGCAACTAAAGTACTAAATTTAGTACAAAATATTGTTTGATATTTAACAAGTACTCGTACACTCCCATTTCTAGTCATTCCCTGTAGGTCTACTACGAGAGATACGAGTGAATTTTGCCGCTACGGCTTCATGACGGATAGGTCTGTTGTCCCGCATAATTTGGGCTGGAAATATTTTCCGATCCCTTGTACGGGTACTATCATACTCTAGTACTTGCATTGTCGGGACCTAGCCACGGTGCTCGAGTACCTCTCTGTCCGCGAAAACTTTGCAGAAGTTGCAGCACGGCCGGCGCCATGCTTCCCTCCCCTAGGATTAGCGGGATCCGCCACCGTTCCCGAGATTGGACCCCTCACGGTGAGCCCCCAATCCGATGCATGGAGACCTACGGAATGAAGACCGAAAGTATGAATTACTGCCGCCACAAGATGAAAGGTTCTGTCTCCTTGGACAAAGTTTCCTAAAGTGTGAAAGGAAGACTCACCTCTCCCCGCTCCCGGGATGCTCCTTCCTTCATTATCCCTGAGTCTCCATGGGGCATGGAGAAACTGGGCGTGTTGCTAATAGGGAAGAATAACACCCTAGTAGTTTTTTTGTAACCCTAACCCCGACAAATATACTTTTGTCCATGAAGTACCCTACCCGTGTTCGCCATCCGCCTCGTTTAGCCATGTCCCTAGCGGAGGTTGTACGAGTACCTGTACTCGAGTACCGGTAGTGCAGTACAGTTCTCGCACTGTACGGCACAACCCGCGAGTGTGTGCAACATCGGGGATACAAGCGAGACGTCATAATCCTGGATTATTACTTGTAAGACGGGCAGATCACCCTTGTCCCCATCGTGGTCTAATACACGTGTATGTAAGACTGACCTCTGGGTTGTTTGAGCGCGTCACCAGGCCGGGGATTCCCCGATTGGAGCCCGAATAAGGTAGTCCGGCACGGTACGGGTGTCTCCTATTTCCTGATATGGGGACGGTGGGGGAGTTGGACACGAATTGGAGAATGGGATTAAATGAAAGTGAGGCTGGTGCTTTGCTGAAACCAACATACGATCATTCGAGGTGAACCGAGTCTTTAAGTACCAGACCAGAGACTAAATGCTCTAGCATTAGGAAATAACACCAGTTGTACAGGTGGTAATGCCATCAATATTAGGATATTCTAATACCCTCGTCTTAGTCTTGTAGGGGCCTATAGTCTAGAATATCGCACGCCCAATACGGCTCTCTCCTCGCTACCTTCAAACACTCCTCAAATCCCTCTAAGGCACCGTTCTAACCCCCCGAGACGCCCTGATTCCCCAACCCATCATGGTCAACCCCCAGTTCCAATTCGAGCGACATACCCCAAAAACTCGAACGGCCGAACCAGCTCCTTCGTCGTTAGAGCTGCCTCCTGCGGCAGGGTCTGGTGTTCCCTTGTTTTGTTTTGTTTTGGCCTCCGGGCTGAGCGGCTCTTCTCTTGCTTTTATTCCCTCCCCTCTTCCAAGGCAGGGGGTTCTCGACCACATCAAGAGTTCGAACTTTCTTATTGAGATCCTCCTCCCCAAACCATAACCACTATCTCAAAGCGAAGACCCACATCTCATCTAGCGTCATGAGCCTAGAATTGACCCAAGTGGCGGCGAAAATCAACAACGAACTCTCCAGAACAATAGCAGGGGTTTGTTTTTGAGGAACGAGCCTCCTGCTCAGAATCAGCTCCTCTGCGATCTTATCGGCTCTAATATCCTATTGAATGAATATCGGTTGGGGACGACAATGTGCCCATTGTCTCTCTTGCACTAAAATATTGAGCATTTTTCGCAAGTACGCGACAACGCCATGTCCACCCCAATCGATTATATATCAGTACGGGGTATCGGGCAGTAGTACGGGATTCAATATACACAAGTCCTAGTAGAATTAGACATGTCTTGTGTCTCTAGTGTGCCTGTGAAAATTGGAATTCCCAAAAAAGTGTCCATTCCAACGAGTGCCCATACAAATTGCAAGGATTGCACACCCATTTTTACATCTTGTGCTTCTCTCATCTATGCAAATGCCAATCCACAACCGATTGCAACCAAAAGGCATGTCACAAGCACTGGATCTCTGAGTTCCTAACTACCCAGAGCCGCATTTTGTGGTAATAATTGGTGCTGGGGCTCTAAGGGCACCGCTGTATTGGTTGGGGCCGGATTTCTTTGATTTTGGTGTTTCCCCCGGCACTTAGCCCCATCGGCAATGGCTTTTGCCCGGGAAACATTTTATTTACCGGTACCGTACTCTGGTACCGTACTTCAAGTTAACGTCAAGGCACACAATTTGGATGTATTACTAAGCAACCAGTTCGCCCCAACAGTTGTCGGTTTATAAAAGCAGCGAATTCACCAAATAACTAGTTAGTAGGACGGTACTAACCTAGATTTACTCTTTTCACCCTGCAATGGGAAAGTATTACAGATTCGTTGCCCCATCCTCATCCAGAGCACTCAGAGTATGGTGGTTAAATCTTTTCAGAAAATGTCCTATTCCATCAGCAGAAAATCCTGGGTACATTTTGCGGGTATTAAGATAAACTCAAAAAAAATACTCAGTTTAGTGTATGACCGTAGTCGCACAGGTTGAACCCATCCTGCATACCCTTCCACCTCCTCCCTTCCCATTCCTTAACGGCCGAAGGCTGTCTTTCCACACATTATGTACTCGTACTGGCGGTTTATAGGGGCGCCTAGTAAGGAGATAACATTGCCGTTAAGGTCTCAAATCTCACAGGTTCTCAGACCAGTCCCCTCAAATGCCATAGTGGATCGGTTCTGTAAGATTAGATCGTGATCAAGTTTTTATTTCTGGCCACTGTACAATTAACCCAGAACCCAGACAGTTATAGAAATTACCATGAAGATGGAAGACTAATGGATAGTATGATAAATTTTACATGAAAAAGAAAGCAGCAGCAATCATTACATGCCCACATGGAATACTATTCTCCAGATGGACTCCACAGGTGTAAGTTTCATCCTCGAGGTGGACAGTTTTCGTCTTTGCTTGTGTGACTTGCCCATAGATCTGGTCAGGCATGAGAGCTATATCCGGCCTTGCCAAAAACCTTCTCCCACCCAAAATCTGGGCTCAAAACTCAGTATGCAAAACCAGGGGGCCCATATAATTTGTTGTTTCGTCTCGCTCAAACTTTGGACATGCTGCGCATATCTCAACAAGGAGACTCAAAATTTAATCCTATCAAATCTTATCTATTGCAATGAATCTGGGGCGGCGCGTCGGGGCGCCATGGAATTTGAGGGTATTTTTCTGGGAAACTAGCATTGAGACCCTAACCGCAGACATTAATTATTAGCTCTCCAAAATTACCACGCCATACTAGGGGTCTCAAATACAGAATAAAGCTAAGGTAAAAGCTCCCACTACCGTGAAGACGTGGCTGGATGGAAGTCTAAATGCAATCTATTGACCGCTGCTGAATCGCAAACACCGTCCCCAGGTTTTTTCCAAGTCTTTGCTCGGGTTTCTCCGAGAACGCATTTGTATGAAAATAGCCATGATTGAAATTACCTATTTTCTCAGTGCTCAGGCAGTCAAGTAGACTTTTTCTCTAGTGGGGGCGTGCCCTCCAGGGTCGGTTTCGAAAACATCGCCTCCCAGATCACTAATGCCGACACGTTGACAAGAACCAAATCTATGCACCCGGTTCATGAAGCTTACTAATGCCATCCCTGCTTGTTAGGCACCCTAAGTTGTGGCTGAGGGATTGCAAGGAAGCGCTCATCCAAGCGTGGCCCTGGCAGAGGTTCCTATCAGCCTGTTTAATAATGTACCCAGATCAGACACGGTCGAAGATCTTACTCTTCCAAACGATATAAACGGGCTTTCAGCCCTGGTGTGTGAGATTTCTTGTCAGGGAAGAATGCAGCATTGAAATCAAAATCGCGTCAGTGGAAGGAATATCCCCACCTAGATCCTAAGTCCTACAATTCCTTCCGGGAATGAATCCAC